CCACTCGTCTACAGCCTGCACTACGCGCTGCTCCTTCTCGGCGTCAATTGTCACTCAGCTGATTCGCAAAACGAAACGCGATGAATTACGCGGCAGAATTCACGCGGAAATTATAATTGCAGTTGTTAATTTACGATAGCACATTTTTTACTCGACAATGCATTTTAAGTCAATACGTACTGAATGTATTATTACGATTACAAACTGTTGTAATTTTACAACTTACGTCAAGGAAAATTTTCCTGTGAACCTTACTTTTTTTCACAGTGTATCCTCGAGGAAAGGCAAAACCCTGGTTTCGATTTTGCCCCCGAGGCGATGCCCAGTCTCTTGTATTTGGTGTGCAACTTTCTACATTTTTTTTATCAGTGAACCTCCCACCCTTGCCCACTGCCCTTTCGCGACTAAGACGATGCACGTTCGGCGGCACCGGTTTGGTTTTAATAAGTGCACTATTGACGTCCACCCCTGGCGCTTAATCAACCCTGCACCTCTGGCACAACGAGTGCCTCGAAGAGCCCTTGCTGTGGCCCCACAAATCTGCTTCTATTCCCCCTTTTAACTGTTTTAAAAATTTTCCGTGTGAGTTGAAATGACCCGCCTGAAAGGTAGGCAATCGACAGAACAGTGCCGAGCACGTGCAAGTATTGACTTGTAAGAACGGATGGGCGCGCGCTTCCTCCCTTACGGATAGGCCATGCTGGTGGCTGGAGCTGGACCGCACCGCTTGCTTGGCGCGGGGGAGCGCAGCGCACGAAGGATAGGGATGGAAGGGAGAAGAGGAGGAAGTGAGAGAAGAGGGAAGCGCCGATCGCGGTGGCAACTCCAGCGGAGGTGGTGGGGGGCGCGCGCAGGGCCAGCGGGGGGAGCGGGCGCGGTGCGGGGGGGCCGGTATTCAGTCACCGTATCTGGTCCGTATTCCTGCGGCCGGGCCGGGCCGGGCTGCGCGAGGGGGAGGGCCGGCGCGTGGCGCGAGGCGCGTGCAGGTGGATACGGCCTGCAGCACGCGCCGTGCGGTCGGGCCCGGCAGTGTGCCTGTGTATGCCCATTACTGTACTGCACTCACTCACCCCTCGCGGTCACCGAGCCGCTCCGCCCTCGGCTCCGCCGCGCCCGAGTCTCACTCGCGCTCTTTCTGTTCTTCTGCAGGTCGCGGCTCGGCTCGGCTCGGGCCTCTGCCTCCAACCTGGCTCGGCTAGGCTCGCTGCGCGCGCCGCCGCGCTCGGCTCGTCTCGGCCCGTCGCCCCCATGGCACGCGGGCGCGTGAGCCACCATGGCGGTGTCGCAGATCCTGCAGTAAGTTGTCCAGCAATTGTAGCGACAGACGGAAACCAGAACATTTTCACACTTTTTTGTTAGAAAAATTGTGTAAAATATCAAACCGAAAAATATGTTTTCCTTTTTTCCATCTTATTACGTCTCAGCACGTTAAGTGCGGGTGGATATGCAGTTTGCATCCTATGGGGGTTGGAAAGACGTGACCACACGGTCGCGCCACACTGAATTCGGAAACGATATCGTCTTGTCAGTGTCAGGGCCGTCGGAAGTGTTTTTCGGTAGGGGGGGCCAACTTAGACGAAAAGCGGGGGGGGGGGATTTTTTGCAAACAATTTTTTTACTACTAATTGGTTTTATCTTTCCTTAGGGCATAGTTTTGTCCAACAATTTTTTGCACAAAATTGTCCTAAGCACTCTGCGTCTTTCTTATATGTGTGCCCTCATCAGAGTCAATCGACAGTAGTTTCAGTGTCCGTTTCTTGTGGACATGAAGCAGCATGCAGTGGGAGACGGCCATGGTCTCTCATATGCTTGAACGCAAGCAAGGCGTTGTTATACGTCTCAACACACTGGATGACCACTCACATGCGCCACCGGCCTCAGAATGTCAGTTAAATCCTCGACTTTCCAAAAAGACTTGGGGTTTCGGGAAAACCTCACTTTCTCCCTAATATTTCTTGGAATTCTGGGGGGGGCGGCGCCCCCCCTAGAATATTTTAGGGGGGGCGAGTTGCCCCCCCTGCACCCCACTTCCGACGGCCATGTCAGTGATTCCTGCTCTCTCACAAGTCATTAGCTCGCGTCTGAGCCCCCTTTGCTCCTCTCTGCCCGCTCAGGAAGCCCTGTGACCCGGCCCGGGGACTCGGCTCGGCCCTCGGCGTGGCCCTCGGCTCCGGCCTGGGCCACATCTCCAGCACCAGCAGCGCCGTCGCCAGCTGCAAGACGTTGCTGCAGCAGCAGCTGCAGGCCGCGGTAGGCGGCTCGGGCACGACGCCGACCTCCTGCACCACCGGGAAGGTGAGTCGGCGGACGCGGACGCTGCTCGTGCGCCGACCCCGCCATTTTCCCCGAGCCCTTTTATTTTCCTGATATTTTTTCCCGCGCCCGCGGCCGTGTTGACTGTGACGCCGGGCGGGACCGAGCGGCGCGCAGGCCAGCCCGAGGGCCGGGCCACGCAAACAGAGCCGCTCCCCCCCGCCCCCTCTCCGATTGGGTTTCAACACGACTCTGATTTGCGAGGCCACGCAAGGCACGCGGCCATACGCTCTGAGCTGGAAAACGAAACTGCCGTTTTATTCCTCCCTTTTGAGGGATGGTTGGTGCGTATTTTCTTTTTCGCCCCCACGGTTCTCTGTTCTCTCCACCGGCGCGGCGCCCTTGCCGCCCGGGCTGGCGGCTCCTCTCCCGCCTCCCGCCTCCCGCCTCGTGCCGCTGCCGCTGGAGCGCCCGGCGGCGGCCGCGGTAGGCAACCCGCACGCACAGCTGGCGGCGGGCTAGTCTAGGCGGCCTCGGGCGGGCGCGTGGGCGGGCGGGCGGCGGGAGAGTCTGGGGGGAGAGAGTGGCGGGGGCGCTGGCCGCGGCGGTGGCGGTGGCGCGCATTACGCTGATGAATAGGTGCTAGAGTCCCCCTTCCCCCGCCCCGCCCTCGCGGGACTAGCGAAATGGATTGTGTGGGGGCAGGGCCCAGGGCACGGCCCCGGCCGGCCTGACGGGGGGCGGCGTGACGAGGCGTGTCGGTGCTGCCCCCTGACCGCCCCCTGGCCACCCCCTGGCCCGAGGCGCGGGGCGGGCCACGCAAACATACCCCTCGTGTGTCTTGACCACTCCTCAAATTAAGGGGAGCATCACTGGTAAAACAAGTGTGCAAAATTTGCACAGTAACGTGTGCAAGTTATGATGTTGCATATTACATGGTGTTTAACTCAAGTTGCACACTTGCGTTGGTGTGCATATTTTAGACGTTTGCTATACGTTTAAATTCTGCACACTTGGACACACATAGTTCTATGATATCAGTAGGAACCGTAAGTTACGGTGTGCAACTAACTGTTATACTTTTCGGACGTGTCGATTGACGTTTAACCTACTTATACACCACAATGTGTCGAGAAAATGCACACTTGAAACTAAACATCAATTGAAGTGCAACATTAAACACTTGTTTTACCAGTGATGCCATATCAAACTGTAATGAAAAAATGTCTGTGGCTGAATTGTTACCAGAGGTGTCGTGTCGGTTGGTACAATGGGGGAAATAAATCAGGTGATTTAAGTTGAGTTGGGAGAGAACCGAGTTTTAACGTATTTTAAAAAGATGTTTGGAAAAAACACTTAATGCATTATAACATTTCGTCTGGTATAGACAATCTTGGGGACTGTCAAAAAAAAAAGACTGGAAGGGTTTTCAGTCACTCAAACATAGATTTACAGATGTTATATCTGAAAAGTTTTATAACTCAACGTAAAATTTTGACCAAAATCGCTGCATTTTTGGGGCTTTGGATAGGGGACAAACGAACGACACGACTAAGTGTACTGACCGTGTGCCGTCGTCACCCTTGTTCCAGAGCGGGAGCCGCAAGCACCACCTGCTGTCGGGCTCCCACTCCACCACGGCGCGAGGCAGCAGCAGGAAGATCGCTCCGTCGGCCTCCCCGAGGGCCTCGCCCAGGGCGTCGCCGCCCCCCGGCCTGCCGCCCAGCCTGGCGCCCCCCTCGCTGCAGGACCATGGGGTCGTCGGCTCGTCCACGGCGGACGGCCTGCTCGCCCACACCTTGGGGCTGGGCAAGGGCTCCATCTGCATGGACGGACGGAGGGTGAGTACCAGCCGGGGTACCCGCGCACAAGCCTAATTAGGAATTTCCTATAGTTTTTGTTTTTGTTAAATTTATTGTAGTAAACAATGTCAGCAAAAAAACTTGTTGTACATTTTAGGAAGCTCGTGTAAACGTAGTACTACATTCTAATGAAGTTTTCGATATGAATGACTTCAACAAAAAGAAAAGTTGAGAAAAGTAATTTTGAGACATTTACATACTACAGTTTAGTTTATTGTCAGGCGGGGGCAGTGAATTCGAGACGGCTCAAAAACGCCCCCGGACGAGCGTGGGCGTATCCAGCATGCGGCGCAGCACGCGCGCGCGCGCGCCCGTACGTCGAGGGGCTCGGGTTGCCTGGGGCTGTATTGTTAGCTCCGGGCTGAGCTCGTTGAGCTGCTTGAGCGGGTGCGCGGGGGTTCGCGGAGGGCGCGGTGGGGCGGCCGGAGCGTTGGGTTGCCTACATCCCCGCGCCGCGGCGGCGTGGCGCGGCGGATCCTGATTGCGCGTGTGTGGGGCATAAATACGCAAGCAGCAGAGTGCGGAGTGGAACTGGGTGCGGGGAGGGCGGCGGTGGCGGTGATTGAGGCGGCGGTCGCGCGCCAGCGGGATTTGCCGAATCCACGAGGCACATGGGGGGAAAGAGACGAGCAGGGAGGGAAGGAAAGAGGAAATGAAATCAAAGCAAATTCAGTATTTTACCTGGAAGGAAGGATCCCGAGTTTAAACTTAGCTGAAGAACTATACTCAAACTACAGTTAAACTATACAAAAATATAGTTTAATTGTAGTAAAAGTACCAGTTATTTGGGTCAACTGTAGTTTTGTGCAGTTAAATTGTAGTTAATGCACAATTCGTGCTACCTCAGTTTGCCTAGTGCAGATTTAACTGCAATTAGAGAGGTGATCCTTCCACCCGGGAGAGTCCTCTTAGTTCCTTACAAAGAGAGGTCTTCATGTTACGAAGAATCGGGTTTGTAAAGGATTTGTTTATATTACCAAGGTTCCAAATCCTATGGACGATGCGAAGAGCACTTCTTTGTAAGAAACTTCCAGTGTCCGGTTGTTCCTGCTTGTCTACGTTTACCAATGCCATGCGTCATTTCCGCCGCAGGCCAACAAGCCACTCATGGAGAAGCGACGGCGTGCACGCATCAACCAGTCGCTGGCCGTCCTCAAGACCCTCATCTTGGACTCGGCCAAGTTGGAGGTAAGCACAGCAGACACCCGGGCGCACCAGTTTGTTCCCCCCTGTCACCTTTCGCTTTCTTGCAATCCTGCCTAACGCGTCTTTTCCCATGTCTCAGCAGCAAAATACGAAGCACTCCAAACTCGAGAAGGCGGACATCCTGGAGCTGACAGTGCGGCATTTGCAGAGGCAGAAGACGCTTAACTCCTCAGTGGTGGACAAATACCGCGCCGGCTTTCAGGAATGCGCGCGAGAGGTGAGTGGGGGACAGAGTGGGGGGAAGGGGAAGGGCAACACACTCGTGAACACCTCTCATCTTGCCTTTGCCGCGCCCTCTGCAGGTGACGAGGTTCCTGGACACGCCCGAGCTGCTGCTGGGCCCCGCCGCGCTGTCCCTCACCGGGTCGCAGTCGCCCAACGCGGCCACCTCCACCTCGGGGCTGATCGACCCGGGCGCGCGCAAGCGGCTGCTGCGCCACCTGGAGGCATGCGCCGCGGAACTGGACCTGGACTTTGGACACGCGGCCGCCAAGATGGCGGCGCAGGGCGGGCCGGGCAGCAGCCAGATGGCGGCGCACCTGGCCGCGCTCACCGCCTCCATGGCCTCGCCGCCGTCTAGCCCGGGCGGGGAGGGCGTCGACGACAGCAGGTGAGCCGGCCGCCGTCAGGCCGTCATCGTGGCCCCACGCGGGAGCCGTAAAGACTGGGAGCTAACCTGACTCTGTGTCGCGCAGGCTCAAGACGGAGGAGGAGTGCGACGCCGCGCGGCCCGACAGCAGCACGGTCTCCACCGGCGACGAGAACAACAACGGCGGGCTGAACGGAGCCGCGGTGGGGCCGGGAGAGCCGGCCGACGGCGGCCTCACCCTGGGGAGCCTGCTCGCCCTGCCGAGCGGCGCACCCGGCGGCCTGGGCGCACACAAGCGCACGCGCTACCCTAGCACCGGCTCGGGCACCGAGTCCACCGCCTCGCCCTCGCCGACCACGCTGCCCACCGACCTGGCCGAGTCCCTGGCGGCCGCCGCGGCCTCCGCCTCCGGGTTGCCCCCTGCCGCCGGCCTGCCACCCGCGGTCACGGCCGCCGTCACCCTGGGCCCCGGGCAGGCCGGCCCCAACAACCCGTTGCTGTCCATAGTGCAGGTAGGCAGGGTGCGCTGTGGTGTACGGCGGTGTCCCATACCCGAGCCCCATAGCGTCTGACCAGGTGTGTTTCTGTTTCTGCAGGTGGTGCCATCCCGTCTACCCGATGGCCAAGTGGTGTTCCTGCTGCCCAGTCACTACGTGCAGCTGGCGGCCGCGGCTGCTGCCGGCGGGCAAGCCTCGTACCTGGAGGAGGCCAAGGCCCGCGACACCAGCGTCATCAAGGAGGCCACGCCGCAGATCCGGGAGTCCGTCCTCACCAGAACGGACACGGTCAAGGAGACCTTGGAGGAGACCCCGAAAGACATGATCAAGTCGGAGCCGCCGCCCTCGCCGCCACCAGTCCACCGAGGGAAGCTACGTCACCACCGCAAGGCGGCGCTGCTGGCCCAGCACGAGCCCGAGGACCTTGTCGTCAACAAGAACCCCTCGACACCACCCAGGACACCGTCGGACTGCAGCCCTCTCACAAACGGGCTCCCGGAAATCAAGACTGAGATCAAGGAAGAAGCCAAGGAGGAGCAGGACAAGGATGACAAGAACGAGGACGAGACTGACACGCCGCTTGACTTTACGACCGGTGAACGCAAGCTGCGTGACGGCACCGCGGCACCGGCTCAGCCACGGACACCTCGGACGCTCAAGAGGGAGGCCTCTTCCCCGATGGCCATGGCCAGGGACGTGCGGCTCAAGGTGCCGAGGCCGTGGACGAGGCCGGAGGGGGCCGCCGACGGGGAGGACCACCCCGTGTACGACGATGACGGCAACGTGTGGCGCCCCTGGTGAGGCCGGCGCGGAGGCCCGGCAGACGCCGATCAAGACCACGGCGACGGTGATGCACTTGGTGACGGGTGCCACCATGATCATTAGCATTCCTGTCTGTTGGGTGACAATCTAGGCCAGAACCCCGGTGAGATCACCAACTCGATTACTTTTTTGCGATCACAATACAGTCTCAATGAGATCATCGGGGATGAAATCAGCCACAGTCAACCAGTAAAGCATTCGTAAAGGGCGTATTACACGTACTGCAGTAAAATCAAAGTACGCGGGGCATGTCTTATGTAAAATGTCGCAAACTGTAAAGCTTTCGTGTATTGGCAAGAAGGGCGTAAACAACAGTAATATGCAAACAGAATATGCAGTATTTGCTCATTTCCTTCGTTTGCAAATAAAGGGTGCAGTGCCTTACATTGAACAGCCGAGCCGAACCGAATCGTACCTGAGCGCGATAAAACTCACTAACGATTCGAGAAATGTGAAGTAGGTTGGTTAATTTATCATGTATTAGAATGGAAATACATCTATAGGCCTAGAAATCTGTTTTGAAAGAAACTGTTACTATTAGGTGAATCTGTCTCGAGCCTAGAACTAATTTCTTATTGTTCGGAGCGCTCTAACGCTCCTTTCTCTCGAGTGCCTCTTTGTACTACATGTCTATGCTTTTGATTTCAAATCGTCTTCCTTCGCTAGCAGCCCTGTTCTGCTCAGCAAAACTTTGTGTGACTTTTAAGTAGTAAATGCCTATGTACATAGGATGTATTGTACCAAACGGCCTTGTATGCCATTAACCAGAATTCCATTGTCTAGTCAAATGAGTGTACCGAAATACATATATTGTCTTCGACCGCAAACTGAAGCTTGGCTTCATGTGGTCACTAAACGCTGTATTAATCTAAGTCAAAAGTTTTAAACGCAAAGATGCACCATAATATCTACAAAAAAAATATGAATATCTCGCCTTCTCGACAATCCAGAGGACAAAAGATCCTCGTCATTGTGCCTATTCGTTAACTGGAGGTTTATTTCGAAAGTATCCTATTAATTTACTTAATCTATCGGGTTTGTTCCTTTAGAACGTAGTGCAGTTCGGACATTTAAAGCCTCTTCTTACGTGCTCTTCTAGGGCTTCTTTAACATAGGCACTGGTGTCAAACTACCGTAGCCTATCCATGTCCAGTATATCTACAGGCCAATGATCCGAAGCTGCACAACCGAAGGCCTACAAAAATTGACACTAAAAAGTGTTATTGATTATCGGTTAACGAAATTGACTTTTTTTTCAGTCAGCGCTGTCTTTGTTGTGTTATGTACAATTATTATTATGATTATTATTATGATTATTATTATGTCATTGTCATTGTTAATTATTGTTAATGTTTTTGAATATTATGTGATAATTATTTACTGTTACTTCTTTAGGGTGAGCGTGCTTTAAAGATCTTTGTATACAATGGACTGTGTAAATTATAGATCTCAGAATGACTTAATGTTGTAAGCCTTTGAACAAGGATAAATCTTGTTTCCCGAGAGATCTCTTGCGGTATCACGCAATAGGGAAACTGCAGGAGATGGCTTTGGCAAACTGGCATTTGTGACTATTGTTTTGTAGTTCCACAATAAATCTTTTTTTCCCCTTCCGAACGGCTAAAACAGTGCCGATCATTTCGCATGACTCTCCCGGGGACGCAAACTGAGAACAAATTTTCTCCCCTAGGACGATACAGTTGTCTATTGCGTCATATTTTGGTCCCAGCACTAAACATTTAGTTCCCGCGATCAGAAACTTTGGTGGCAGGCAATGAAACTTTTGTCCTTAAGAGCAAATTGTTTAGTGCGTCAAAAACTTTCGGTCTGGGGACAAAAAGTCCAATGCCCAGGACTAAAAATTGTTCTCAGTGCAGTTTCGGGCCCGGCCCGGGCCTCGAAGTCGTTCGCTTCGATTTCAAAGACTTTATGGTGAGCCGGGTACCAGGCCGAGACCCCGTCCAACCCCGGCGCGCGACGGCGGGCGGCGGCGCGCCGGGTGCGATGTGCGATGGCGTGCCAAGTGGTTCTTAGAGTTTAGCGGCGGGGCGCGAACTACGCCCTGCCGCGCCCCGCCGCGCCCCGCCGCGTCACGCCCCGCCACGCCGCGCTACGAACCACCACCCGCCATTACCATCCATTTGTTTTCCCGTACGCGCGCCAGTCCGGCCTCGCGCCGCTGCCACCGCCGCGGGCTGTCAATGGAGAGAGGGAGATGGGGAGAGGGAGTGCGGCAAGAGCTGGAGGGATAGAGAGAAAGAGAGAGGAGGCAGAAGGGAGCGAGAGCGAGAAAGAGAGAGAGAGAGAGCCGGACAGGCGGTGTGGGCGAGAAGAGGAGAGAAGGAGGAGAGGCAACAGGTGATGTGACTGCGGCTAGCGCCGCCACCGCGCCATCCCTAGCGCCAGGCGCCAGAGCGCGCGCCAGCGCCGCTACAGAGGAAGAGGGGGAAGGGCGAGGAGGGGAGGGGGGGCTTTCGGCTCGGCGGTGTTGTTCCTCTTGAGAGTGTGCGCCGCACGCGAGCGAAAGAGCGAAGGGGAAAGGAGAAGGGAGGGGCACGCTGCCGCGGCGCGCCTCTACCCGTGAACAAATCACACTGCACTGACAAAAGTGTCCCCCCCCCC